TGATTACCTTTACCTAGTTACCTTTTTGCACCACCTGTCCCACCAATTGCAGCAGAAGTTAGGTAATACGGTTATTGGATCCAAAGTAAAAGCTTAATAACCAAAGCATGATAAATAATGTAAATTTATATGTAGTGTTGTGAGTTATTTCACAACATTAACAATAATAAATCATCGAAGATCAAATGAGCCTCCAAAAGGTATTATCGCAGAGTGAACATTTAGTAAAGCAAGCTAGAAGCAACACCATACGGACAAGAGGAGAATGAATGACCCCCATAATAAGTTCTATGGGCAATTACAGAGAAAACCTACTTCTAAAAAGTTGGTATGGTACTTTCAGAGAGATTTTACCCAAAAGATGGGGACAGTCTATGTTTCCGTTTATCAGTTTATAAATGGAGTAAAGATCAGTAAATTTGCTACTGACCTCAAGTGTTGGAAGACAAAGATGAAGTTGGGAATCTTCTATGAAGTTTATAGACACAATTATTTCATAAACTTGCGTTGAACTCCTGAACTCCAAAATACAACCAAAGCATATTCTAAATTAGATCTTACTAGCAACTTTAAAAATGAAGGCCAGCATCTGAAAAGCTTTACTTGTTATATATTTCACAGGATTTCTAAAAGTGATTTCAGAATCGAAATATATTCTAAGTCTTTGATGGAATAATTTACAATTTACAACATTTTATAAGTAGTCGCCTCATGTTTTTTCTTGTGCTTAAAAAGTTTATAAAAGAACGCTTAAGAAGCATTTAGGGATACCTTATCCATTAGGTTCTGACTAGCTTGCAAAAGATGTTAAAGACTCTTGAAGTAATTTCGAATCAGAATCATCATTATCAACAATTCTAAACAATTTCAGATCATCAACATAGAGCAGATACTCACAATTTTCAATGTAATTTTCAATATCACAGAGAAACAAATTAAATAAAATAGGAGCACAGTGGCCACCCTGTAACACTCCAGAGGTTACATCAGATTCAAAATTTTCAATCCTAACTTTCTGAGCTCTCCCTGTCAACATACTTTGGAACCATTCCACAGTTTTTTCGCCAAGATCAATAGCTCAAAGCTTGACCACAAACACCCAGTTGAATGTCTTGGAGAAGTCTGTATAGAATGTGTTTCCCTGAAACCCGCTCTCCAAGGTATTCAAAAGATCTAGCTGTCTCATAAAGATAATTTCAATTTAGCATCGAAACGTGGGTAAAATTTAAATATTATAATCGTAAAGCTCTAGATTTCAATTCTTATTGTTTTCCATATTGAACCATTCAGGTAATCTAAAAATAATCAATAATCTCTAAATAGAAAGATTTAAAATTTCCAAAAAAAGGGAAGGAGTCTTTCTAGGGAAATTTCCAAAAATGATTGGTCGTATAGTATAGTACCTATAGTTGGTATTTACAAATCTTCATATGGGTCCTATGATTGAACGTTTACGTTATCCCTAACGTACATGTTAGGCCGAGTTTTAACAGTAACGATGCAAGTTCGTATGATGGAAAGTTCTTTATAACAGATTACTGTTCTAATTTAACATATCTCCTCAACAGCCCCGAATAATATACCGTTAAGTCAGTGGCGTATCTACCGGTGTGCCATGTGTGCGAAGCACACAGGGGCCTTATTCCGTAAAGAACAAACCGTTCGATTCGGTAGAATTTCTTCGATTGTGACGTCATTTTCAGTTTGCTAGCGCGGAAGCTATTCCGAAAATGACGTCACAATCGAAGAAATTCTACCGAATCGAACGGTTCGTTCTTTACAGAATAAGGCCCCAGGCCCGGGCCCGAGAGAGGCCCATGAGAGCGGCCCGTGAGCTCCATAGCGAAACTGCAAAACAAAACGTAAAAAAATCGAGATTACACCAAGAAAAAAAAAGTAGCTACAGAAACTTCAACATACTGAAACAGGAGATCCTTCCAAGACCCAAAATAGGAATAGACCTATCTATTTTATCAGACAAAGAGGTAGTTATATGAAAACTTCATTGGATAAAAAAAGACACAGAACGCTCATTGCGCAAGACGAAGCAAAACGTACCAAGTTATGTTAGACTTACGTATAGCAATCCGTTCTTCTTATTTGCACGGGATAAAAAAGGAAAGAGAAAGACTGCATGTTGTGCAACGTATTTGTCAAAAACAATTTTCGAATATCACTTATCAAGCTATGTCAAGTTGAATATCAATCGTACTTTTATTCTTCTCAAACCACAGGCATAATAACATAATAGCCTACTCTATTTGTATGTACAGGGTGTCTGGTTATAATTTGACACCCCACCTGCAGCCTTTACCTTTAGAAGTAGATGATAGGTGTGAACATAAAAGTTGTGCAGTTTTAACTCAATTTCCAGAATCCATCATCAAAAACAAAAGTTTATTGTAAGAAATTTGAAATTTTACGTATCTACTTTGAACTTTTTTAAATGAAATGCCCTATATTTGAGACTTAGAATTAGTTTTACTTATTTTTGAAGCAAATTGTGATTATTCCAGGCGTTTGGCAACATTGCATGACCCACTATGATTTAAAATCATTGTGTCGATTTTCGAGTGCCTGGAATCGATTAAAAATGCATTTCGCTAAAATATGATGTCACTGGGAGACCCATCAAAAGATGCATTTTGTACAAGGTTATCTAGTAAAAGGTAACTTGATGACGTCAATTGGGTGCAACTGAAACGTTTTTGAGACTCAGAATTAGTTTTACTCATTTCTGAACCAAATTGTGATTATTCCAGGCGTTTGGCAACATTGCATGACCAACGATGATTTAAAACAATTGAGTAGTTTCAAGCGCCTGGAATCGATTAAAAATGCATTTCGCAAGAGTATGACGTCACTAGGAGACTCATCAAAAGATGCACTTTGTACAGGGTGTTTTTTTATATTTATCTATTGACACCCCACCTACAGCCTTTACCTTTACAGGTAGAAAAAAGGTGTAAATAAAAAAGTTGTACAGTTTTGACTGAATTTTTAGAAACCGTGGTCAGAAACAAAATTTGAATGTCAGAAATGTGAAATTTTGCATGCTTCCAGCTTTTTTCGAATGGGATGCTCTATATTTCATTCTATATTTTTGAAAAACACATTGCTCCGATTCCAAAAATATATGGTTGGTCTATATTTGTTTGAGCCGCCTTCAACATATTTGGCTCTAAAAATTGGAAAAATACTATCCTACTGACGATTTTGTGAACCATTCTGATGAAAGCTTCAGCTCACGGCTCAACTAAATCTAGAGAAACTATATATTTTTGGAATCGGAAAATTGTGCTCTTCAAGAATATAGAATCAAATATAGGGCATTCTATTTGAAAAAAGTTGAAAGTACGCAAAATTTCAAATTTCTGACAATAATTTACCTAAAACTGCTCCACACCTATCATCTACGTATAAAGGTATGTCAAATTATAACCAGACACCCTGTACCTTCCAATAATTTTTATGCCCCCCCCCCCCCTTAATTTGAGTCTGGATCCGCGCCTGACAGTTATTATAAATCAATTAGAGCGAATTTCATTGGTTGGAAACAGTCAGAAATCTAGTTTAAACCAATTAAATTCACTCTGACTGGTTTGTGATTTCTGTGCGAACAGACTTTTGTAAGTACCTTTACTTCACTTTTTATATTCTTCAAATGATTTGTTAATCTGCATAATTTTGGAATAAAATTTTAAATTATTAGTTCCTATTTACTCAAAGAATTCTGGTTGGACAGTTTTTTTTTAGTGTATCAGTATGTTTTTTTTTGTTGAATTGTTTATTGAAGTTTGTGAATGGTATTATTCTCTGCAATAAAAAAAATGTCCAGAATTTATACCGTATGTCCTGATATTTTATTAACCTTGTCCAGAAAAATGAAAAAACAAAGTTGGCAACCCTAATAATATCACAAGAGAAAAAAATTTGTCGGCAAAATTTTTGAAAGGTATGAAAGTTTGTTGCTTGGCAATTTCGCGAATGAAATTTTTGACAAAATCACGAGCAGTCAGGCAAGTAATTTTATCAAAAATGTCATGAGCGAAATTGCCGAAAAGCAACAAAAAAATAAAACCTGTTAAAATGCAGTTTTTTGGAAATTTGATTTTTTCCAAAATGACACCAACACACGTTTTGCCTCACAACTTTGGTAATTTTAATCCAATCTTAACGTAATTAGCTTTCAATTGAAGCTAATTAAATTCTCTACAAATCTATAAATGATTTCAATGTAGCTTCAATAGTTTTGAAGCTGCAAAGCTTCAAAGTCTTTTGATTATAAAAGATAATCTGACATCTGACAGTCAGATAAGGATTTATATGTTCTCCATTTTGATCCTCGAAAAGCCACGAAATTTCTTCTACACATACAGGATCGTCAACATCTAGGTGTAAATATGTAAATTATTCAATTCAGAACAAGCTTTATTGTCAAAGAATTTGAAAAAAAAAACTTATTAACATAGTATTTCTACATACATGGACACCATTATTATTTCTGAATGTAGATCCAGAAGTTTTTAGTAGTAAAAACTTGAAGAGACCTGTCTGATGGAAAAGCATTGGTTCTTTCTTCCTTTTTCTGTTCTCTTAAGTTAAGTTAACATTTTCTCAAAACTATGATTAAATTGAAATATGTAAAGTTTGTTTCGCCAGGGTTTGTACTTGCCACCAGCATTTGCCTTCCTTATTTAACAAATAAAAATTGATTGAAACAAATCAATGACGTCAAAAACGTTCGTCGGTTCTTAAACCAGAAGTCATTCATTTTAATTTGTCAAAAAAATTGAATGTGTCATATGAATTAATCTACGACAACCCTTTTTTTTCAAGTTTCAAGGTCAAGTATGAACCCTGGTGAAACGAACCTTAGGTACTATTGCGGCTCTTTCTTGAAAAGGAATATATACGAGCAATATAAAATTAGCGTGTAAACATTATCTTATACTACTAAATTGTATTAATAATTATTAATTGTTGAAACAAATTCTTACCAATAAAGCATCATTATGAAAATTTCCTTCATAGTAAGTCCCTTCTGAAGTCACAATAGAACCATTGCCTTCCTTTTTACAATTAGCCCAATTTCCCAAATATTTTTCGCCTGTGGAAATATCGTCCATTACACCATAGCCAGATTTTTTGCCTAAATTCCATTCTCCAATGTATAAAGAGGCAGAATTTGCCATAAAATTGCCTTTACGTAATAGTCCATGTCCATGAAAAAGGCCTTCTATGAAATAGCCTTTGTAAATATCTCCATTGTGATAGGAATAAGTTCCATGGCCATGGGGTTTGTTGTTTTTACATTCGCCTTCGTAAATTCCTTAAAGAAAATTGAGGATGTGGAAATTTAAAAACGAAAAAACTACAAAACTACAATAATTTTATTTGAAAACTATAGTTAATTCTGAACAACAAGGCATTTTTGAGCCTCGTGAACTGAAATTCAATAAAAGAAGCCTAAAAAACATATAATTTCCTTCATTATAGACTTGGAATTTGAAATAAAAATGGAAAAAAAAAAACCTACTGGAACCAAAATTAAACCAGGAAAGTACGAAAATCCCATTTTTGATCATTCTAGGATTAAAGTTATTGATTTAAAGGACATTGTTGAACCTTGAAAGCTGAAATTCACCAAAAAAAGCTTCTAAATCTTCCTATTTTTGATCATATTCCAGACTCTTGAGTTCTCTTGATTTTTAGTTCTTGGCTCTTGAATTTTTCTCACTTCTTTATTCCATATTCTTGAATTTTTTTAATTTTCCTTATTCCTGGATCTTCAATTTCGCGTTGTTCTTTTATTTCAAATTTTAATTTTCACGATTTTAAATTTATATTTGTTAAGCCCCTTTTAAGTAGGTACAGAAAAAGCCAAATATTAAGTATGTCAATCTTGATCAATCCACATTGGTAAACAAATCAAATATGCCAAATCCCATTAAAATTATGCGGAATTCTAGTAAAATTGAATAAAAAACAGCACAGAATTTCAAAAAAAGCGTCTAGTTTTGAGAAAAATCAAAATCCCATAAAAGTTAGATAGATTCAAGTTGTATGGAATGCTATAAAAATTATGCGAAATTTCATAGAAACTATATGCAAAAGTCCAAAGAATTTCTGCGAAATTCTATGGAAAATATGCAATATTCTATATAAAAACGATGCAATCTTCTACTGAAATTATACGAAATTACGTGGAAATTATGCGGAATTTCATAAAAATTGTATGCAATTAAATAAAATTTCAGCAAAATTTATTAAAATTCCAGGCATACGACGTAGAACTCCAAACAAAAATATATGCAATTCCGGTAAAATTATGAAATTCCGATGAAATTTCAATAATTTTCCTAGAGTTCCAAGTAATTTCTTCAAAAAATTCCAAAAAAAATTGCTATAATATTATTTAAAATTCCTGTAAATTTACGAGGAATTCCTGTGAAATTTCTTGCAATTACAGAAAAATTCCTTGAAATTACATGAATTTTTAGTAGAATTCAAGAGATTTTTTATGAAATTATGCTCGGAATTATGAGGAATTCTGATGTACAATTTTTTTTTTTTTAATTTACTTAAAAAAAGAATTTTTTCAATACCTACATATCAGAGACCTTGACACCATCGTTACAGTTGCGCTGAATTTTACCTTATACTTCAAAATTCAGGCAAATTTTTAATCAATTAATAGTAATAATTATTGAAATTTGAAATAACTAATAAGTAATAAGCTCCTAACAACTTACTCAAATATCAAAAATCTTGTGAAATTATTTGGAATTTCAGTGGAATTACATAAAATTCCGATGAAATTCCATAAATTTTCCTGGAATTATAGAAAATTCCTGTAAAAATTACATGAGATTCTCGTGAAATTTTAATAATTCTTGTAAAATTATTTGGAAGTTCAGTGAAATTTCGGTAAAATTATGTAGAATTTCGAAAAAATTCCAATAAAATTCCATCTATTTTCCGGAAATTTTACGTAATTCTCACGGAATTCCAAGTTATTCTCGTAAAATTACGGTAAAAATTACATTAAATTTTCATGCAACTTTAAAAAATTCTTGTGAAATTATTTAAAATTATAATGGAATTACGAGGAAATTTTCCGAGTATTCGACTCAGCCTCTGGAATTTTAAGTTATTCTCGTGAAATTCCAGAAAAATCCCATGAAATTCCAAAATATTCACGTAAAATTACGTAGAATTTTCGCGAAATTTCAAATCCTTGTAAAATTCCAAAAAAAAAAATCCTTAAAGTTACTGGTAATTTCAGAGGAATTTCGAAGAATTTCTATGGTATTACTTAAAATTTTCGTAAAATTGGAAGAAAAAATCGCAAAAATTTCCGTGAAAATTACATAAAATTCTTCTGAAATTATTTGAATTTTTTATTGAATTCCCAAGAATTCTCGGGAAATTACATGGAATTTCCGTAGAATAACTCAAAATTTAAATGAAATTCTAAATTAATATGAAATTCCGAAAAGTTATTGTGAAATTACCTAATGCTTTAGCAATATTTCTGTAGAGTGAATCGGAATTTTAGTGAAATTTAAAAAAAAAAATGTGAAATTTCAGAAAATTTCTTTAAAAATGCTTGGAATTCCGATGAAATTGAAAAAAAAAAAACCTTCCTACGAAATAACTAGAAATTCCATAGAACTTCCATGAAATAATGTACTTGAAATTCCGAAAAAATCCTGTAAAATTACTCGAATTTCCAAAAAATTCTTTTGAAATTTCTTAGGTAATTTTACTAATAAAATTACTTGAACTTCTTTTGAAATTATTTGGAATTCTAGCGAAATTTGAAGAAATTCCTGTGAAATAAATCAAAACTCTCGTGAAATTCCAAAAAATTCACAAAAAACTACTTAAAAAATCGTATACTTAAATAATTGAATTTTCAGTGGAATTCCGAAGAATTTTTAGGGAATTCTGGTGTGCAATTTATGAACATTCTATGAAAATTTCTGTAGAATTCTGAAAAATTCTTGTAAAATTATACGAAATTCTCATGAAATATCAGAAAATTCCTATGAACATTCCTAAAACATTCCCGGAACATTCTATAAACATGCCCCGAATATTATTCAAAAATTTTCATTCTATATCGATAAGCTTAAATTAATATTCATTACTCATTAAGGCATCGATACAGTTTCCAGTATTGGAAAACTTAAATAATCCAACATTATTTAAAAAAATCACTCATAACTTGGTTGATATTTTACACATTAAATGTACAGTTGAATAAATATTCTTAATCATAATTAAATTCTCTTCAAAATAAAACAAGATTGAATCTTCTACCTTAAATACTTTTCAAAATATTGAAAATCGAAACATTAGAAAAAATTCTTACCAACATTTGGTGTATCCATAATCCCAAACCCATTCAAAAACCCATGCTCAAATTGTCCACTGTAAACTCTACCATCAGGCCACCTAAACTTCCCCGTCCCATGCATTTTCCCACTCAACCATCTGCCACTATAAGTCCCATCCTTAAAAAATCCACTTTTAACAAAAGTATAACTCCCACTTCTAACCAAAGGAGGCTGAATCAAATCCAACTTATTCAAAGCAACTTTAATAGCATTCTGCAAACAGTGAAACCATTTATTTTTGCTTGAAGCATCCGGAGTTGTCAGAGTTAAAAAATCTTCGGGCATTTTCAGGCAAATGTTTTCTTGGTCCAAATAAATCCAAATTGTTGTCAAAGGGTGCAAATAATGATTACTAGATCCGGTAATATGGGCAAAAATGTCGGAAAATAATATGAATCTGTGTGAGGAAAAGATGCTAGAGTTTTGCATGTTTATTGGATCAATTTGGCTGTCCAATATGAATCTCCTATTTGGGGTTTTAAGACAGTCAATTGATTTTGAGTTGGTTTGCCAGAAACTTAAAGTTTTTTCAGTGTCTTTTGATTTTGTTTCAATAAAATCAATAAACTCTTGCCATTTGGTTTGATGTTCTTTGGTTGAGTATTTTTTATAAAAATCCATATAATGACTAGTATTTTTAAGAGGATTCAATAGTTTGCTGATATGTTCACAACCGTTTATACATAAAACATCTTGAATAGCTTTTACATAATTTTTATAAACAATTATAAACTCTTTTATATTATTTACAATTAAAATATCATTCATTGGCATTATTAAAGATTCTAAATTGGCTGCTAAAAAGTTTAATAAATCTATGTAACATTTACATAAATAATCATCAGTTAATAATGTATGCTGCACCAATAACATTTCCTCTAAAATAATTTGCTCTTTAATGCAAAAATCCACATCAAATTTTGCACCAACATTTAACAAAACAAGCTCCTTATCAACCAATAACGAATTATTAATTGTATTTTGTATTTGGTAACTTGAAGCTTCTTGATCAAAATACATTGACTTATTACTTAAAATCACAGTAAAATTTAAGCCACATGAGGCATCACTGATTCGTTCATTTGACTCAGTTTGGAATTGTTTCGGTAAAGAGTTTTGGGCCCAAATGAAGGCCCTTCCGTCAAGGGTTAGGGCACAACATTGGGTGCCTTGTAATGAGACTTTTGTGATGCCCAAATTTGATAAGGAAGAGATTATTGTGGGTGAGTCAGTGGGTTTTTCTGCACCTGAAATGAAATAATTATTGATGGTTTATTTTTTTTTTTTGATTCTTGATTTACAATTCTAGCTCAAATTAATTTTAAAGCCAATAATTATTTCCAGAAATTGAATTTTAATACCAATCAAAAGCCAGAATTTTTTTTAAAAAAATAATTTTAAAGCCAATCAAAAACTATGTATTGGTATAAATCACTTTGTAACTTTTGTGTCCTTTGTTCAATTGCTTTGAATTTTTGGTATGTCCTGCTCTAATACCTTATAAAACATTCTAGAAAATTTCATATTTGTGGCTTCTATAGTTTTTGAGAAATTACCCCAGTTATGTAAGATTGCCATATTTCATTCCTTGAAAAACTATGTATTTGTATAAATCACTTTGTAACTTTTGTGTCCTTTGTTCAATTGCTTTGAATTTTTGGTATGTCCTGCTCTAATACCTTATAAAACATTCTAGAAAATTTCATATTTGTGGCTTCTATAGTTTTTGAGAAATTACCCCAGTTATGTAAGATTGCCATATTTCATTCCTTGAAAAACTATGTATTTGTATAAATCACTTTGTAACTTTTGTGTCCTTTGTTCAATTGCTTTGAATTTTTGGTATGTCCTGCTCTAATACCTTATAAAACATTCTAGAAAATTTCATATTTGTGGCTTCTATAGTTTTTGAGAAATTACCCCAGTTATGTAAGATTGCCATATTTCATTCCTTGAAAAACTATGTATTTGTATAAATCACTTTGTAACTTTTGTGTCCTTTGTTCAATTGCTTTGAATTTTTGGTATGTCCTGCTCTAATACCTTATAAAACATTCTAGAAAATTTCATATTTGTGGCTTCTATAGTTTTTGAGAAATTACCCCAGTTATGTAAGATTGCCATATTTCATTCCTTGAAAAACTATGTATTTGTATAAATCACTTTGTAACTTTTGTGTCCTTTGTTCAATTGCTTTGAATTTTTGGTATGTCCTGCTCTAATACCTTATAAAACATTCTAGAAAATTTCATATTTGTGGCTTCTATAGTTTTTGAGAAATTACCCCAGTTATGTAAGATTGCCATATTTCATTCCTTGAAAAACTATGTATTTGTATAAATCACTTTGTAACTTTTGTGTCCTTTGTTCAATTGCTTTGAATTTTTGGTATGTCCTGCTCTAATACCTTATAAAACATTCTAGAAAATTTCATATTTGTGGCTTCTATAGTTTTTGAGAAATTACCCCAGTTATGTAAGATTGCCATATTTCATTCCTTGAAAAACTATGTATTTGTATAAATCACTTTGTAACTTTTGTGTCCTTTGTTCAATTGCTTTGAATTTTTGGTATGTCCTGCTGTAATGTCTTTAAGAAGGATTCTAGAAAATTTCATATTTGTGGCTTTAATAGTTTTTGAGAAATTACCCCATTTATGTAAGATTGTCATATTTGACTCTTGAAAAATCATGTATTTGTATGCCATTTAGGTATGTCTAATTTAGTTGATTTTCATTATTTTCCATTTTCCAATGGGGTTATTTTCCACTAAAAAAATTTGAAATTTTACTATGATACGCCCCTGACTTTCTTCTTTTTTTCCAGAAAATGTCATAATTTTCCCCTGATAGTTTTCCAGGAAAAAAAATAAATGTTAGATGGTGCATTTATGTCTAATTTAGTTGATTTTTATTAATTTCCCATAGGGTTATTTTCCAATTGAAAAATTTGAAATTTTACTATGATACGCCCCTGACTTTCCTCTTTTTCTCCAGAAAATGTTATAATTTTCTCCTGGACAGTTTTCAAAAAAAAAAAAAAAATGTTAAATGGTGCATTTATGCCTAATGTAGTTGATTTTCATTAATTTCCAATGGGGTTATTTTTCACTGGAAAAATTTGAAATCTTAGTATGATACGCCCCTGACTTTTCTCATTTTGTCCAGAAAATTTCATAATTTTCCTTTGGATAGTTTTCCAGAAAAAAAATAAAATGTTAGATGGTGCATTTATGCCTAATTTAATTGATTTTCATTAATTTCCAATGGGGTTATTTTTCACTGGAAAAATTTGAAATTTTACTATGATACGCCCCTGACTTTTTTCTTTTTTTTCCAGAAAATTGTCATAATTTTCCCTTGAATAGTTTTCCAGAAAAAAAAAATACATTAGATGGTGCATTTATGCCTAATTTAGTTGATTTTCACTCGGATTTTCATTAATTTCCAATGGGGTTATTTTCCAATGGAAAAATTTAAAATTTTAGTATGATACGCCCCTGACTTTTCTCGTTTTGTCCAGAAAATGTCATAATTTTCCCCTAAATAGTTTACCAGAAAAAAAAATAAAATGTTAGATGGTACATTTATGCCTAATTTAATTGATTTTCATTAATTTCCAATGAGGTTATTTTTCACTAGAAAAATTTGAAATTTCCCTATGATACGCCCCTGATTTTCTTCTTTTTTTCCAGAAAATGTCATAATTTTCCCTTGAATAGTTTTCCATAAAAAAAATAAAATGTTAGATGATGCATTTATGCCTAATTTAATTGATTTTCATTAATTTCCAATGGGGTTGTTTTCTACTGGAAAAATTTGAAATTTCACTATGATACGCCCCTGAATTTACTTTCTTCTTTTTTTCCAGAAAATGTCATAATTTTTTCTTGAATAGTTTTCCAGGAAAAAAATTAAATGTTAGATGGTGCATTTATGTCTAATTTAGTTGATTTTTATTAATTTCCCATAGGGTTATTTTCCATTTGAAAAATTTGAAATTTTACTATGATACGCCCCTGACTTTCCTCTTTTTCTCCAGAAAATGTTATAATTTTCTCCTGGACAGTTTTCAAAAAAAAAAAAAAAATGTTAAATGGTGCATTTATGCCTAATGTAGTTGATTTTCATTAATTTCCAATGGGGTTATTTTTCACTGGAAAAATTTGAAATCTTAGTATGATACGCCCCTGACTTTTCTCATTTTGTCCAGAAAATTTCATAATTTTCCTTTGGATAGTTTTCCAGAAAAAAAATAAAATGTTAGATGGTGCATTTATGCCTAATTTAATTGATTTTCATTAATTTCCAATGGGGTTATTTTTCACTGGAAAAATTTGAAATTTTACTATGATACGCCCCTGACTTTTTTCTTTTTTTTCCAGAAAATTGTCATAATTTTCCCTTGAATAGTTTTCCAGAAAAAAAAAATACATTAGATGGTGCATTTATGCCTAATTTAGTTGATTTTCACTCGGATTTTCATTAATTTCCAATGGGGTTATTTTCCAATGGAAAAATTTAAAATTTTAGTATGATACGCCCCTGACTTTTCTCGTTTTGTCCAGAAAATGTCATAATTTTCCCCTAAATAGTTTACCAGAAAAAAAATAAAATGTTAGATGGTACATTTATGCCTAATTTAATTGATTTTCATTAATTTCCAATGAGGTTATTTTTCACTAGAAAAATTTGAAATTTCCCTATGATACGCCCCTGATTTTCTTCTTTTTTTCCAGAAAATGTCATAATTTTCCCTTGAATAGTTTTCCATAAAAAAAAATAAAATGTTAGATGATGCATTTATGCCTAATTTAATTGATTTTCATTAATTTCCAATGGGGTTGTTTTCTACTGGAAAAATTTGAAATTTCACTATGATACGCCCCTGAATTTACTTTCTTCTTTTTTTCCAGAAAATGTCATAATTTTTTCTTGAATAGTTTTCCAGGAAAAAAATTAAATGTTAGATGGTGCATTTATGCCTAATTTAATTGATTTTTATCAATTTCCATTTTCCAATGGGGCTATTTGAAATTTTACTATGATACGCCTCTGACTTTCTTCTTTTTTTCCAGAAAATGTCATAATTTTCCCCTGAATAGTTTTCCAGAAAAAAAAAAATATGTTAGATGGTGCATTTATGCCTAATTTAGTGGATTTTCATTAATTTCCAATAGGGTTATTTTCCATTTGAAAAATTTGAAACTTTACTATGATACGCTCCTGACTCTTCTTTTTTTCCAGAAAATGTCATAATTTTCCCTTGAATAGTTTTCCAGAAAAAAAAATATATATTAGATGGTGCATTTATGCCTAATTTAGTTGATTTTCATTAATTTCCAATAAGGTTATTTTTCACTGGAAAAATTTGAAATTTTAGTATGATACGCCCCTGACTTTCCTCTTTTTTTCCAGAAAATGTCATAATTTTCTCCTGAATAGTTTTCCAAAAAAAAAAAAATATGTTAGATGGTGCATTTATGTCTAATTTAGTTGATTTTCATTAATTTCGAATAGTGTTATTTTTCACAGGAAAAATTTGAAATTTTAATATGATATGCTCTTGACTTTTCTTTTTTTTTTTCGAGAAAATGTCGAGGAAAATGTCATAATTTTCCCTTGAATAGTTTTCCAGAAAAAAAATAAAACATTAGATGGTGCATTTATGCTTAATTTAGTTGATTTTCATTAATTTCCAATGGGGTTAATTTTCACTGGAAAAATTTGAAATTTTAGTATGATACGCCCCTGACTTTTCTCGTTTTGTCCAGAAAATTTTATAATTTTCTCTTGAATAGTTTTCCAGAAAAAAAATAAAATGTTAGATGGTGCATTTATGCCTAATATAGTTGATTTTCATTAATTTCCAATAGAGTTATTTTTCACTAATGGCGTTTCCGATTGGTAGATCTAGTGCGGAACTAGTGCAATTTTTTCTATTCCTGTCTTTTTCTTCTACAGGTCGATTAAAAGGATGCAAATACACTGAGTGCGCACTGAATCTACCAATCGGAAACGCCATAAAAAACTTTGAAATTTCACTATGATACGCCCGTGACTTTTTTCTTTTTTTCCAGAAAATGTCATAATTTTCCCCGAGATTTTCCCCTAGATAGTTTTCCAGAAAAACAATAAAATGTAGATGGTGCATTTATGTCTAATTTAGTTGATTTTCATTAATTTCCAATGGAGTTGTTTTCTACTGGAAAAATTTGAAATTTCACTATGATACGCCCCTGAATTTCTTCTTTTTTTCCAGAAAATGTCATAATTTTTCCTTGAATAGTTTTCCAGAAAAACAATAAAATGTAGATGGTGCATTTATTGACAATCTTACATGAATGGGGTAATCAGGCTTATGATGTATCCTTTCCTGTTATTTTAACAGTTGTGTTATAGCTCAAAACCTATACCTGTCCCTATTTTTACGTGTAGAATAAACAGTGACAGATAACTTAACTTTGCTGTTAAAATAACAGAAAAATGATACATCATAGGCCTGAATTTCTCAAAAACTATAAAAGCCACAAATATGAAATTTTCTAGAATGTTTTATAAGGCATAAGAGTAAGTCATATCAGAAATTCGAAGCAATTGAACAAAGGACACAGAAGTTACAAAGTGATTTATACAATAATTTTTCAAGAAATCTAATATGACAATCTTACATAGGTAAATGGGGTAGTTTCTCAAAAACTATAAAAGCTACAAATATGAAATTTTCTAGAATGTTTTATAAGGTATTAGACTCGGTATTAGAGCAGGACATACCAAAAATTCAGAGCAATTGAACAAAGGACACAAAAGTTACAAAGTGATTTATACAAATACATAGTTTTTGAAGGAATGAAATATGACAATTTTACATGAATGGGGTAATTTCTCAAAAACTATAAAAGCCACAAATATGAAATTCTAGAATCTTTTATAAGGCATAAGAGTTGGTCATGCCAAAAATTTAAAGCAATTGAACAAAAGACACGAAAGTTACAAAGTGATTTATACTATTGTCCGAGCTATTGTCATATTTCATTGCTACAGGGACGCAAGTATGGGGAGGAATGGGGGGGAGGACAACCCCCCCAACCAGTTCAACCAGTTGGGAAAGTTGGGATATCGGGTACAAATTGGGAGAATCAGTACACTTGAAAACATGAAGATTCACGGGGAAAATGAAAAAATATTCCAAAACATGATGAAAATATGAAAAACAGCTTGAAAAAAACGATACTTTGGCAGTAGGGTTGCCACCTGTCCGGTTTTCACCCGGACTGTCCGGTTTTTCGAAGGTTTGTCCGGTGTCCGGACGCATGATGAAAATGTCCGGGAATATCTGGATAAATATATAATTAATAATAAATTAATACTTAATATAAAATTTATAAAGGCGATTGCCGAACGCCTTAGGATATACCCAACTAATTTCTGTACGTTCTACTTCTTGAATGACGGGTATGTCACGAACGTCTCCGGTTTCCAGTTAGTGACGGAAAAGTAGACTTATTCTGCCTAGGCAGAAAATTTCTTTGCTTCCCATTCAACAAACGTTATCAGCGCAATTGATAAACATAAAAGAGTGGATTATGCGTGAAACTGTAACAAATATTCGGAGAAAAGATGATAGGTATATGTTTCACACGGCAAAAGGCAAAAGATCAGATTTAATACCTTGGCTACTTTCCTCGCTTCGCTTTTTCGGCTATGGAACACTAGTCGCGGCATTAAATATTGTGCTTTTCTGCCTCATAAAACAAATAATTATGTATGTATTGTGTCCCTGTTCACTTACAAGTGTCTCTGTTTTTTTTTTAACTTTAAAATAGACCGTAACTACGAGGGGTGGCGCTTGAAATTAAGTAGATACCTTTTTTAAATTTTTCAAAAAATTCATTTTACAGATTTGAGTGTAAATTATGCTTCAAAAAAAGTTAGCTTCGATTATGTACGGGTTTTCGGAAATCAAAAGGTGGCAACCCTATTTGGCAGGGGCGTAGAAATTAAAAATTATAATACAAATACTAACAATCTCAAAAAAATACATGTTTTTGACTTTTATTTTTTTAGTAAACATGTTGATTTTACTTGCAGCATTCTCAAAGGGGGGCGAGAGGTCCGTGCGTCCCCCAAATTGGCTCATTTACAACGAATTTTCCTACCTAAAATGTGATGTCACGTAGAACATATTGGGACATTACTAAAAACTCTAGAAATTTACCTTACGAAACCTATGTTTTAGCATATATTATGTACTTTTTGAGCCTCAAAATTTTATTCTTTTCCTATAAAGCATTTGACCTTGAAATTCTACAAATTTTTTTTTCAGGCACCACTATAGTCATGCAATGTTTCTTAATTTCAATACCTAGTGAAAAACCCCCCTTATCTGAATTTTCTGGCTACGCGCCTGCTCGTTGGGATTTTTGAGGAAGACCAGTTGGGAGATTTTACCTACGCTACCCCCCCAATAAAAAGTCCCTGCATTCCTTAGCTATGTATTTGTATAAATTACTTTGTGTCCTTTGTTTAACTGCTTTGAAATTTTGGTATGTCCTGCTCTAATACCTTATAAAGAATTCTAGAAAATTTCATATTTGTGTCTTTTATAGTTATTGAGAAATTACCCCATTTATGTAAGATTGTCATATTTAATTTTTTCTAATGTATTTATAAATTACTTTGTAACTTTTGTGTTTTTTGTTCAATTGCTTTGAATTTTTGGTATGTCCTGCTCTAATGCCTTATAAAGGATTCTAGAAAATTTCATATTTGTTGCTTTTATAATTTTTGAGAAATTACCCCATTTATGAAAGATGATTGGAAACCTCGAGGAAAGTATTGAATTTTAAAATAACAATTAATTAAACCAATCAAAAGCCTGGAATATTTGAAAATTGAATTATAAAGCAAATCAAGAAATGGGAGTTTTCAAATATTTAACTTTAAAGCCAATCAAAAGCCAGGAAAATTTAAAAAAAATGCATTTTTCAGCCAATCAAAAACAAGGAATATTATAAAGCATTCTACAAATAAATCTCGCTTACCTGAAGATCCACATTTCACATCTCCCCACATCCAAACTTCCCTATTCAACAAATCGGCCCCCTTTTTCAAAATCCCATCCAAATTACCAACTTCAGACAAATCCCCATCAAAAGTGCTACTTTGACTAATTGATAAATCTTCTTTGGAATTCTTTTTAAGATTATTATTTTCAGTGCACTCTGAACTAGAACTTACATGCCTAGAAAGAGATTTAACTCCTTCGTAAACAAATGTAGCAACATTTGACATGTTTTCTTTGATTATTTTTGATTCTATTGAAGACATTTTTGATATTTGTTTAGTTAAAAACTCTTTGGCTGCTTCTGTATTTCGAAATATAATATTTTTTGTTGTAGCAACAATTTCCTCTTCAATACTGTCTTCGTTGTTTAATAATTTAATTCCCAATGGACAAACATCAATGCTTTGTTCATTATTGCAAATTTTACAAATTGAATTCTCAATTAATAATAACTCATTAGTTTGTTTGCCAACTAAAACTAAAGCATAATCAAGCCCTATAGCAAAATCATAGACATATTTGTCTAAGAGAAACTCAATTTTCTTTGGGGTTTCGTTGGGTTTAGAGCTGCCCCATAGTTGATTTGTTTCTGACAAAAACAAACACCCAAAATCATTAATTGCAAATTTGATTATTTTCAATTTTTGGCTTATAACTGCCTCGTGTCCTTCGGGACATTTAAACTCTTCAATTAATGAAATTGAATTAAGAATTTCTAATTGTTCATTGCATATTAACATGTGGCCTTCTGTGTTTATCAAATAGATGCTATCTTTGTAAGTTTCTATATTTAGGGGTTTGAATTTATCAATTATTGATAAAGATATGCTATTTTCTTCAACTAGGCCTTGATAAAGGTTATTGTTTATTGTTAAAATAAATAAATTATTGTTAATACTTGCTATTTTTATTATTGGTTCGGTAATGTTTGTTTTGCAATTTATATTTTCGTTGAATTTCCACAAATTCATTGCTGCTTAATTCTGTTTTTGAATTTGTTATTTTCATTCTATTTATTATTATTATTGCACTTTTATTTTGTTTTAATTAATAAAACTGTGAATTTATTTATTATTATTGTTTTTGTTTATCATTTTTGACAAGTCACAAGACCAACACTGACAAATGTCAAATGTGGAGAAGGCGCTTTCTTTTCTTCATCGAGGAATCCATTGATGACCAGTCTATCTTTGTCTAGTTCATAGAAAATCGGAATAGCTGTCTCATAATGGGGGCAGCAAATAGAACCATCGATAAATTTAAAAAAAGCGCCCTCTTTTATCTTTGAAATAAAACTTTTGAAGTGAGCTCGATTTACTCCACTTTATCTACGGAGTTACTCTATTCACGTTAAAAATCCACATTAGAACAGTAGAAGTGCACAATTTTTTACTTTACGTTCTAATTTCCAAATCCAGGAGTAGATTGGAGGGAGAGTAAGTTGAAGTTACTTGCACCCGGTGCAAGGAAAATTCATTTTTCATAATTTTGGCAGTTCAACATTACACCTGGAGCAGTTTTTGGTTACGCATAGAGTTAAAGTTGAAGTATACCCGAATAACCTGGAACAAAAAAAATATCATATGGCCTTGTATAGAGTAATTAAGTTTACATTTAGTTATACGACGGAGTCGGAAATGTGAAAATTCAAAAAAAAATTAACAGATTGTGCACAACTACACTTTCTGTTCTGCTCTAGTTACTTAACACTTTGTGAACGTAAACTGCACTTCTTGTACTGCATTTTCTGTTCTGCCCTTTTTTCACTGCACTTTCAGCACAGCAGTTTTCGCACTGCATTTTCTGTTATGCTCATTCGCGAATCAATAAAGTTTACTCGCTCTAGAGCACACTCAGTTCCTATTTTAAAAATTTTGAGTTCGGATTGATTCAAGTCACTAACGACTCTAACGAGCACCATTTTAAATATTCGACTACCCGAGCCGAGTAGTAATTTAGGTTTTTAATTGGTTTTTAGAATCGGGATTTTCAGTACTTAGGTACATTTTTTAAAAACTCTGTTCAAATTTTATTAATTCGAGTTAGTCAAAAGTGCCATTACAGCTTTTTGTTCAATTAAAATCGGTTCCAGAGTGATTCTAAATTAGTTTTAACGATTCAACAAAAACTATAAGTTCGAGACTGGGAGTTCTGAGTCGTTTGTGTTGGTTCTAGAAGAATTTTAATTCAGAACTAGAGTTAAAAATTTCCATTCCCTGTTTCGAAAGCATTTACGGTAAAATTGAATCCCGAATCTCTCTGGAATACTAATAATATATTATCGTATCACGCTCAGTTTCCATTTTGAAAGTGCAATGCAAGTCTCCACCACAATTCTAAATTAGTTTCAAATTGGTTTAGATTGTGCACTGTACTGTTTGTGCTATTCTAGCTGCTCTACACTTTCTGAACTGCATTTTTTGTACTGCATTTTCTATTCTTACTCTTAACTCGAGTTTCGTTTGCAAATCAATAAATTCTATTGGTTCTAAAACACACTCAGTTTCCATTTTGAAAATGTATCCAGTGCAAGTACTGTATTTTTTGTACTGCATTTTTTGTTCTGTCCTATCTGCACTGTACTTGTACCTCTGTAGTTTCATTTGCGGATTAACTAGAACACGCTCAATTTCCATTTTGAACGTGTAGTGCAAGTGTCTACCACAGTTCTAAACTAGTTTCAAATTGGTTAAGACTGTGCACTGCACGTTTTGTTCTATTCTAGTTGCTCTACACTTTCTGAACTGCATTTTTTGTACTGCAGTTTCTGTTCTGTCTCATCTGCACTGTATTTTTAATTCTGTGGTTTCATTTGCAGATCAACTAATTCTACTTGTTCTAGAACACGCTCAGTTTCTATTTTGAAAATGTAATACAAGTCTCTACTACAATTCTAAATTAATTTCAAAATGGTTTAGATTGTACACTGCACCTTTTGTTCTAATTTTAGTTGCTCTACTTTTTCTGAACTGCAATTTTTGTACTGCATTTTCTGTTCTGTCCCATATGCACTGTACTTCTAACTCTGAAGTTTCGTTTGCCGATCAACAAATTCTTCTTGTTCTAGAACATGCTCAGTTTTCATTTTGAAAGTGTGCAAGTCTCTACCACAATTCTAAATTTTCAGAATGGTTTAGATTGTGCACTGCACTTTTTGTTTTATTCTAGCTGCTCTAAATTTTCTGAACTGCATTTTTTGTACTGCATTCTCTGTTCTGACCCATCTGCACTGTACTTTTAGCTCTGTAACTTCGTTTGCGGATCAATAATTAATAAAAAGTCCGTATTCATAGTCGATGTTCAAGGTTGCGTCTTGGCTCAAGTAGGACTTGACGCCATACTTACGTTTCCAAACAGCGCCGCGGAACAATGCTCACGACTGTCAAAAATCGGAGCTTGAGCCAAGCACCCGTCTATGAATACCGGGCTAAATTCTACTTGTTCTAGAACACGCTCAGTTTCCATTTTGAAAGTACAGCTCAAGATTGTGTGTTCGAATTGATTCGAGTCATGAACAAGCTACATTTTAAGTGTTCGAAAACCTGAACTGAGAAGTAATTTCAGGTTTTTGATATAACGTTACCAGATTTCTCATTTCTACCTTTTTGAAATCGGAATTTTCAGTACGTTTAAGTGCATTTTCGAACTATATGTTGATGTTGAAGTGGAATTGCGTATGGTTCTGCTCTTTTTCACAGTGCAATTGCATTTTTTTAAGCTGCCTAGAGCGAGTGCAAGTTAATCGAAAGTGCAGTTACAGCTCTGTGTTAATTAGAATCTGCTGTGATTCTAAATTATTTCTAACGATTCAAGAAAAAATGTTCCAACTTTTTGCGTTCTGAATAGCCGAACGCAGCTATTCATTCGCTACTGCACTCTTATTTAGATCAATTTAAAGGATTTTATGCAGTTTTATACTGGAACGATAATGAGATAAATTTGTTTTGTTCTGAATTTAGAAAAATTTGGTACACAAAAAACAAATAAATTTTGAAAAGAGTATAATAAAAAACATGTTACCAGCGTATTCATTTGAATAAAAGTTTTGTCCCGGATCACATTCTGAACCGATTTCAAACTAGTTCAGAAATAGATGGGTTCTGTTTGCTCACGCCGTGCAACCCAAATACTTTGATCGTTCGGGTATAGTGTAAATAGAGTAATTAGGTTCACATTTCGAGTCGAGTAATTTGAGCTCTGCGTATTCTTAGAACACATGTCAGAAAAATGCTCTCACTTCATTCCAACATTATCTATTCTGAAAGAATTGGATTTTTTTAATCGGTGCGCTCTAAGTACTCCAACTATTCCACTTTGATTCTTTAGAGTGAATCGAGTACCTAACTACTTTTAGTTTTGGCTATAGAGAGTCGAATAAATGGAGCTCACGAGATAGAAGATTAATTTGAGAGTGACTCCGAGTGATTCGCAATTTTTTGGTTGCAACTCCATGCGAACCTCAAGCTTGGATTCAAAAAAGCGTACTTTTTGGGAGTTACTCCGAACAAATACTTGTAGCATGTAACTTTCAAAAAAGAAACGCTTCTGAATGAACGTTGGTTCCAGTTCCATGACCTGTGCGACACTTTTTGCTCCTTTAGGTTTCAATTTTCGAGGTTAGTTTGTTTAATAATATATTGCTGCATGCAGGGGATTATTTATTTCATTATCTGAATTTCGCTTTTAAATAAATAATATAAAGACTCTAGTTGCTTTACATCTTCTAAACTACACTTCTTGTACTGCACTAAGTATTCTATTCTTTTTGCATTGCACTTTCTATCCTGGGCCGAGATTCTAAAATCACGATTCGACACACGACTCGACAACGATACCGGCCTTATCGTGTCGAAAGGTATAATTCCAATGAGATTTCTAACCTAGAATCGTCGGAAAAATCGTCTCGTTGTTGAATCGTATGTCGAATCGTGATTTTAGAATCCCCGACCTGCACTTTATATCGTGCACTTTCTACTCTGTACAATGTGGCTTCGTGAAAAATAGGAATTCGAACTAATATGAACAATTTAAATTGTCATTAGTGGTTCAGTAAGTTCTAGTTGCTCTAGAGCACACTCAGATTCTATTTTGAAAATACAACGCAAAATTTTGTGTTCGGATTGATTGGAGTCACTAACGAGGAACATATGTTCGGGCTTAAAAAAGGACGGTTCTAGAATATTGAATTCTAGAACGGATCCTTTTACCCCAATTGGGCTATGAATCACTTCAAACCTGAGAGTTCTGAGTTTGGTTCTAAGGAAGATTTGAAGCAGAACGAGAGTTGAAAGTTTCTGTTCTCCGTTTCGAAAGCATTTACAATAAAATTAAATCCCCACTCTCCCTAGAATACGATAATTATAAATTAATTTCAAATTGGTTCGGATTGTGCACTGCATTTTTTGTTTTGCTCTTATTGCTTTACACTGCCTGAACTGCACTCCTTGTACTGCACTTTCTGTTCTGTCCTTCTTGCATTGCACTTTCAGCTCAGCACTTTTCGCTTTCGCACTGTGATATTCTACATTTTTTGCTCTACACTTATAAAATTTTCGGCTTTACTGCTCCTCGTCTATGTGTTGACGTCACAGATCTCTGCGAGAATGCTTCGAGAACAATTATAATCCAAACAAGGGCACACCATTTGGAATCAATAGCCGAACGTAGTTTATAGTTTTGATCAAACTATGATCCATCGAATTTGACGGAGTAAGAAAGAGCGCTCTGTGCAAGATTTGAGAGCGTTCTATTTCAAGTCGAACACGTGAATTTCGCCGAGAGCAAAGCTTCGTTTTAAGCCGAACATGTTTCGGATCGCTTTTTGATTAATCAGGCGCAGCTTTGTGTATTTTATAAAAATACTCCACTCTATGTTCACTTTTCGGGTTTGTAGTTTCAGGGTAAATAGATTAATTTTAGGTTTACAATCAATTATACGAAGTCGAGTAATTGGAGCTCTTTGTACTCTTTAGAACACATCACAAAAAATTCAGTCAGTTTATTCCAACTTTGTGTGTTCAGAGCCGCTTTCCAGTAATGAATTTTAAGGTGCTCCACACCCGTAGCTTCACACTCTGGTGCTCCAAACAACTTTTGTGTTATTGGAATGCACCTTACTTTAAGCGTCTTGTTTTTGATGAACTCATAAAAGTGCTGGTGCTTGAGAGAACGAACAGTTCAGTTGCGCGAAACTCAAATACACTGGAACACCTATAAACAGTCCGGGGCACTCTAGAGCAGCTCCAGCTCAGAAGTGCGTCACTGGAAAGCGACTCTGAATAGCCGAACACAGCTCTGCTCTTTGATTCTGCACTAAGGATTCAGGAAGGTTGTACTGGTATAAATTAAAGAATTTAAGTGGAATTAATGTAGCACTCCTATTTACACCATTCTTCAAATACATTTAGGAGTGAAATTCCTTTGAGGTGCAATTTGCAAGTTCTTTTTTTCAATTGTAGAGTATATGATTTGTTCGGAGCAAGCTGAAATGTAATTCCAGAGTGACACTGAATAGCAAAAAGCAAAAGTTGTAGGTATATGCTAATAATGTTTATAGATTTCGAACCAATTTTAAATCAATTTAGAACTATTTTTTGTATTATAAATATTCCAATACAAAAATATAAACAATAAATCAGTTTCCACAGATTAGTGAAATATCGAGGCTGAATTTTCCCTGCAGGAATGAACTTTTTTACTCCGCGCTCTAAGTACTCCAACTGCTCGGTTATGACTTTTTTAGAATAAATCGAGTATCTATTTTTAGTTTTTGCTATAGAGTGTAGAGTAAATTAGTGCACATTCAACTGAGAATTTGCTCTAAATCCCTCTAGAATACTATTAACATAGTGCAACTTTTTGTTGCACTGGCAGCACTGTAAAACATCTAGCGCCCTCTCACGCTGACAAGAGAAACAGTAATTTTCATTCATTAATCAATTTTATTCATCCTCCATCTTGTCTTTGTTGTTTGCCTTTTCAAATTATTAAAAACCTCGTTTAAAATTGTGTTAATTTTAGTGTTTTTATCCACTAAATAAGTAAGTTTAATGTGCCAAAGTTAAGGGGTTTTTAATTTTTCAAAAAATCCTATTTTTCTGTAGCAAAAAAGAAAATATGGCTGACGAATTGGATGTGGAAGCAATGCTAGAAGCCCCCTACAGAAAATCGGTATGTTTTTATCATAATTTACTAGTTTATCAATGTATTTTGTGCCCCCTTTATCACTCAACTATTTAAAATACATTTGGCGAATAATTAGTTTTTACATAAGATTTCCCAAGGGGTAAAGCTAGTAATAGTAAATCCTACTGGAATTCCTCGAGGAATTCCATGCCAGTATATGGGTATAAACTAAAAACTTTCTTTCATCAATAAACTAAGGAATTCCATTGGAATCCCACTGGGTCCTTATTCTCCAAACAGGGAAACAGTGTTCTCAGAAAAACAAAGGTTCTATCTGTCAGTGTTATGGACATAGGAATATGAGCGACAAAGATAGAACCTTCGTTCTCATGAGAACGCTGCTTCCCTGTTTCAAGAATAAGAAACCTGCTGGAATCCCACATTCCACATGCTTGTACACTTTCAGTTCCAAGATGGTTTACCCCTAGAGATTTCCTATAATATTGATTTTTCTTCGCCATTTGTATACTGAAAAACCCTCAAAATAAATAAATTGTGCTCTACATCACACCCTCATTTTATATTTTAGACTTGTGAGGTAATCGTTTATAATGGGCTAACGGCTCCCTCCCCTCTTGAAACAGGTACTGAATATTAGTTTTTTAAGTTTTTAGTTAAGTATTGTTGTTAAAAAATTGAATTTCCTTCGCTCATGGGTACTTTCTCGTCATAGGAATAACAAGCCGACTATGATGGGACACGTCTCTACAACCTGCTTCCAATTTAGGCCAATGACCAAATCTGCCTGGACTTAGAAGTGTAAAAAGATTTCTATACAGATTTTTTTTTTTATCAATAGGAAAGGATTGAGGTTTAATTTGCATAAAGTAATATTCTATTATTAACAAGTGCCCCAAAATACAAGCCTTTTCCTCTCTTGTTAATAAAAAAAAAAAATTACAATCTTTTGATTATTTTCTTGGGGTTTGGCAAACATTTTCTGTTTCAGGTATAAAAAGTCTGCAACTTTGTGATTGTTTAAAGGTAATAATTTTGGCCCCTTTTTCACTTTTCATTGCCAGGCCCCCTCCAGAGGTCTTTTTATTTGTTTTTGTTAAATGGCTTTACTCTAGGTCTATTTTTTCAGATGGCCAAGGCTGATTTCTATTGGTAAGTCTAGTCGCAGGCTAGACGCCGCCCCTCTCCACAAAAACCAACAAAGAAGAAATTATAATAATCAATAAACAAAAATTAATTGTTTTTGGCTATTGTTTAAAAAAAATGTTTTTTTTTTTTTTTTTATCGATTTAGTTGGATTATTATTAATGCAATTTTGTTTTTCAACCATCTGGGTGGTCTTCTTGCTCTCCCGTAGGATGAAGTCAATGGCAAACGTAAAGAAAATGGAAGTGTGAGAAGGGACCGGAAATCGTCTTCTGAGTAAGTATTTTAAATTAATTTTTTAAATTTTTATAAATTTTGATGAAAAAGTTTAATATTGAAGAATAATTGATTACATGTTGAGAAAAGTAATGAAAAACTGAAAAAACAATTAAAAAATAAAATTCTCTTTTCTAGCAAACTTAGAACACGTAGTCGGAGCAGGAGCCGCACTTCAAAGAAATCCAGTAGAAGTCGTTCCAGAGCCACCAGAGATGGCAAAAAAAGAAGTAGAAGTAGGGAAATTAAAGGATCAAGAGATAGACGTCGTACAAGATCCAGAGATAGAAAATCTAGATCTAGAGATAGACGGTCTAAATCTAGATCTAGAGACCGGAGACGGTCTAGGTCGAGAAATGGGAGCAGATCTAGAGATAGAAGAGACAGGTAAATAATTATTGTCAAAATTTGTCCTATCTAATAATATATAAAATTCTCATGTCACAGTTTTAGTTACCTTCATCCTCCGAAACGGCTTTACCGATTTTTATGAAATTTTATATGTATATTCGGTAGGTCTGAGAATAGGTTTTAAGCTAATTTTTATACCTCTAAGTGATAAGGGTGGTCCACCCCAATTTTTTTAATTTTTTTCTTGCTTCTCACCACTACATAACTAAACTTATTTTTGTTTATTCCATTCAACCGACGTAACAGTATTATCTTAGGTATAGCATTTTCGGCTTTACTGCTCCCAGAGCATTCTCTATTTGGGCGGTGACGTCACAGATCTCTGCGAAAGTGCTCTGAGAGCGATTATGATCCAAGCGAGGCACCCTATTTGAAATCAATAGCCAAATTTTAATTTTAGGTGATTTCTGATCCAGAGAGTAAACATTAGTTTTTTTCAACCAAGGCCAAATTCGGATCTTTGAATTTTGATTTTCGAATTTTTGTGTGAAATCTTTCAGTTTTTTGCCATTTTCTGCATTATTTTTTTATTTTTTATTATCGCAATCGGTTTTTTGGTTTTTTATGTAGTGTTCTGCGCCTTTGTGTTTCGGTGTTGCGTTTCAAACCTGGTTTTAGTATGGATTTAAGTGTTTACTCTTATTATAAGTGTTTACTTTGGACTCTAATTTTAGGATTTTTGGATTTTAATAACTTAACTTCCTTTAAAGAAATTGAAAATAAATTTTTATCCTGAAATGTATAACACTTTTCTAAATACGACCCTGTCGTTTATCCCAGCTGACGAAATCGAAGCGCTAATGCTAAAACCTAAAGAAAAAGTTTACTAAAAATGTCAACGCGAACTGTCAACTTCACTTTCTATCGTGATTTAGTCTATATTTAATAATTCATAGGCAGTACGAAGTTCGCCGGTTCAGCTAATCTATATACAGGGTATCCCAAAAGAACCGGAACGGTCAAAAATCTCAGCAACGGAGTGACATAACGGTATAAAATTTGGTATACGGGGGTTCCTAATAGTGCCGGATCTTAAAATGATATTTGCAACGTTGCCGGTTTTTAAGTTTTTCCGATAAATCTCTCAATTTTTTTTTTTAATGCCAAGCTACAATAATTTTTCTTTAAAAATGTTGCTTAGACCAAAGTGTTTTCAATGCCAAAATATCAAATTTTTCTTTTGTGGTTTTTAAAAGATATGGCAAAACTGCATTTTCATTTAAAAGAACTGAAATGGTAAAATATCTTAGCAATGGCTTAATACAACGTTATGACATTTGGTATACAGGGTGTTGCATTTTCAGTTTTAATTATAAACAGCACCAGCCGGTTATATGAAATCTTTGAATCTCTCCCTTCGTTCATCTTCAAAAGCAGGAATTATACCTCATTAAAAATAGGATAGTTTTAGGTTAATTAGTACTAGTGTTTAGTAGAAAATCAGAAATAGATCAGAGTGGCCAGTTTAGTCAAGTTTTTGTTAATTTTAGTACCTGTTATTGTCATTGTAATAGAGTTGTCATAAATGTATAATTTTTTGAAACTGGCTTGAAACGCTTGAATCCAAATAGAGCATTTACTGACATTTTTGGGCTTTTATTCGTCAGTTTGTCCTTCGGAAGAATTTTAGAAGCAAGTTGGGACTAGGAAAGCAGAGAAAACTCATTGTTGGCCATCATACAGTCCTAATTATCGATTGTCCCAACATTTTGGTCCAGAGTCGAGTCGGATAAATTGGTATTGGTTTATGGAGATTCAAAATTGTATAAAAGGAACATGGAATCATTGGATTGATATGGATTAATGAATTGAATCATTGAGGTCAGATTTTTAATTAAATTTTGCATGGCAGAGGTGTCAAATTGAAGGAAAGGTGCTGTCACAGGTGCTGTCAAATAGTTTGAGTGAAAATTTAAACTTTTGAATTGATTTTATCTGTTAAAGTGTTGTAGGTTTGTTTATCAATACCTATTGTTTAGGCAATATTTTAATTTTTACATAGGTACCTAGTATTAAAATGGAAGTTCTGAAAAAACAAAGAGCTGTTGTGAAGGGTTCGATAACAAGAGTAAAAACATTTGTTTTAGCTAATGAGAATGTAACTACTGTCGATGTAAGTGAATATGAAACCAGAGAACTGTTTTTGGAAAAAGCATTTCAAGATTATTGTACAATTCAGAATAGCTTAGAGTCAATTGATGAGGACGAAGGGACGGATAGAGGTGATGTTGAATCAAATTACTTAACAATATTATCCAAATTAAAAGCTAAAATTAAAAAAGCGAATCAATTAACGGCTGCAAATCTGCAGCAATCTCTTGCTGAAGTAATGCTGGCTGCTGCTGGTTCTGGTGTACAAACTAATGCGCGTTTGCCAAGCGTTAATATTCCATCTTTTTCAGGGAAAATAGAAGATTGGCAAGCTTTTATAGATTTATTTTTGGCAGTTATTGATGGGCATTCATATTTAGACAATGTGCAAAAGTTTTTGTATCTAAAGGGTGCATTGGCAGGTGAGGCATTGAATTTAATCAACAATTTACCATTAACCAATGATAATTATACTCAAGCCTTAGATTTACTCAAAAATAGGTACGAAAATAAGTTAGCGGTCATTAATTCTCATTTGAAGGGTATGTTGGATACACCTGATATCCCAAAAGGTACAGGGAAACAACTTAGGGCATTTCTAACTCATATAAGACAGCATGTCAACTCTTTGAAAGCACTTAAATTGCCTGTGAAAGAATGGGACGTTTTGTTGGTGTTTCTCTTTTCACAAAAGTTGGATTATCAAACACATAAAGCTTATGAGTTAGAGAAAAGCATAGGGCAAAGGGCTTCGGGGGTGCATTCAATGTTGCCAACTCTTGATGATTTTATTGCATTTTTGGAGAGTCGTTGTATAGCATTAGAAAATATTGAAATTGAAAATGTGAAGGGTTTTAATAATCATGGGCATGTAGTTAAGGATAGGCGAAGCGATAGGTTTGGAGATAAAAATGTCAAAAATATATTGCTTAGTCAACATGATCCTCCATATACAGGGCAAAAAACGAAGTGTTACTTCTGCAATAGGGATAACCATAGTATTTACAAGTGTTATAAATTCACTTCTTTGTCTTTATCTGATAAAAGGCAGTTTATTCAGTCTAATCGATTATGTTACAATTGTTTGGGGAAATCTCATGGGGTAGCTCAATGTCAAATAAAACAGGGTTGTAAAACTTGCAATAGAAGACATCATACATTGTTGCATGATGATGTATTAATTAATACTAGTGGGGGTGATCAGCACCATAACAGGCAAAATACTAATAACGATCATAATGGGAATACTTCTCAAAATAATATATCTATAAATCAGGATGATTTTCTAGGCATATCTCATGGAGTAGATTTGGGCATTTCGAGAGAGGAAATTGACGTTCAGCAAACAGTTTTGACTTGCTCAATAAAGTCAAATTTTCAGGTTTTATTAGCTACAGCTAAAATAAATTTGATTTTAAAGGATGGATCTAAGGTACAAGAAAGGGCTTTGTTGGATTCTGGATCACAGACTAGCTTCATTACAAAATAATTATTTAAAAAATTAAAAAATGCAGAAAGCTATAATACATCATTTAAAATAGGGGGGATTGGCAATAAAATAACTCAGGTGGATACAGTGGTTAAATTGACGTTGGAATCTCATTTCAATAGTTTTCAATTAAGTACAAAATGTGCTGTGCTAGATAAAATAACTTGCAAGCTTCCTCATGTATGGGTAGACACTGAAAAGTTAAAAATTGGGAAAGATATAAAATTGGCAGATCCTTTTTATTATAAACCAGGGGAAATTGATATGTTGATTTCAGCAGATGTATATTTTCAAATTATCCTTCCAGAGATTAGAAATTTGGGTGCAGGGTTGCCAATTCTTCAAAACTCTGAATTTGGGTGGTTAGTTTGTGGAACAGCTCCAATAGATTTCAATATTAAAAATTCGGTATGCCATGTAGATTGTGAAAATGTTAATTTACATTGCCAGGTTGATTCAGAAGATGTCAATGAAACAATTCCAAAATTTTGGCAGTTGGAGGAATTCAATAATAAAACTTTCTTGTCGAGGGATGAAAAGTTGTGTGAGAAGTTGTTTTTAGATTCGTGTGAACGATTGGAGCATGGCATTTTTCAGGTAGATTTGCCTATGAGAAACAAATTAGATTTTCTTAAGTTAGGTATTTCATTTTATGCAGCCTATAAAAGGTTTCAGTTTTTAGAGGCAAAGTTTTGCAGAAATCCTCAACTATTTGCAGATTATAAGGATTTTATAAATGAGTATGTTGAGTTGAATCATGGCAAATACATTGAATGTGATTCAGATGATATTTATAATAGAGTATTTTTACCACATCATTGTGTAATAAGGGAAGAATCTTCGTCCACAAAACTTCGCGTAGTATTTGACGCTTCGAGTAAAACTTCAACGGGTTTATCATTGAATGATATTATGCTCAAAGGGTTCACAGTTCAGCCAGAATTGTTCGATATTCTCATGAGATTTCGTATGTATGAATTTGTGCTAGTGTCAGATATTAAAAAGATGTATCGAATGATTAAAATAAATCCTCAGCAATTATTTTTACAAAATATTTTGTGGCGCGAGAATCCAGATGGGCCTATGAAAATTATTGAACTCCAGACCATCACATATGGAACTAAGGCTGCGCCATTCTTGGCAACACGTTGTTTGAAAAAATTGGCATTGGATGAAATGTTAAATTTTCCACTAGCATCAGACGCTATCTTGAATCAATGTTATGTGGATGATATTTTGTGTGGTGCAAATTCTAAGGATGAAGTTATTAAGTTAAGAGAACAATTGATTAATATGTTACAGTCAGGTGGATTCTATTTGCATAAATGGTTGTCCAATGATTCGACGATTCTAGATTCTTGCGAACGTGGAAAAAATCATGGTGAACTTAATGTTTGTAATGAAAATGGGAAAGTTTTAGGAATTATTTGGCATCCAATTCATGATTCTTTTAGGATTTCTATTCCGAAATTTGAGATAGGGATTCCAAGGGTAACAAAACGGCTGGTATTATCCAAAATCTCACAAATGTTTGATCCGATGGGATACGTGGGCCCAGTAGTAATAACTGCAAAGATATTAATGCAAAAAATATGGATTAGCAAAATATCCTGGGATGATGAGTTACCAGCTATGCTTTTGGAAAAATGGGAAAATTTCTCACGAAATTTACATTGTTTAATTCATTTGCAAATTCCAAGGTGGGTTTTTAATTCAACGGAGATTGTTGCCATACAATTACATGGGTTTTGTGATGCTTCTATGGCAGCGTATGGAGCATGTTTATATATTAGGGCAATTTATAGAAACAATTCGGTGACATGTAACTTGCTTTGCTCAAAATCACGGATTGCTCCTATAAAAACTATAAGCTTACCAAGATTAGAATTGTGTGGAGCTTTATTACTTTCTCGGTTAGTTCATAGAGTACTGTCAATTGTTCAGATTAAAATTAATGATGTGTATTTGTGGACAGATTCCAGTATTGTCTTATGTTGGCTCAAGGGTGAACCAAATAGATGGACTTCCTTTGTTGCTAATAGGATCTCAGAGATGCAGGAACTCACAACAAATTTTGTGTGGAATCATGTTAAATCTCAAGATAATCCTGCAGATCACATATCCAGGGGAATTCCTGCTTCTGAGATTCAAAACAACTATCTTTGGTGGCATGGTTCCCAATTTCTTTTGAGTAATGAAAGTAGTTTTTCTAGTGATAATCAATTAAATATAACAAATTTGCCAGAACAAAGGGAACAGGTAGTGCTGGCACAAATATTAATGGATCCTTTAATAAATTGGAATAATTTTTCTAATTTTTCAAGGCTTTTAAGGGCAGTGGCATACTGCCACAAATTTATGAATAGAGAGTTTGGACAAATTAATATTCGAGAGCTACAGCAGGCTCATACGACTATTATGAAACTTATTCAATTGGAAACGTTTCAGAAGGAAATTGAATATTTTAAATCAAAGGGTAATTCTACTCGTCTTTTTAAGGAAAGCCAGATAATATGTTTGAATCCATTTCTTGATGACGATGGCATCTTGAGAATGAACGGTCGTTTAGGTCAGGCAAATATGAGTTTCAATAAAAAGTTTCTAATTATTCTACCTGCAAATCATTATGCAGTAAAACTATTAATTCGTTTTGAACATCTTAAACTTTTCCACGCTGGACCTCAAGCAGTGTTAGCAAATCCAAGGTTGAAGTATTGGTTAATTCGTGGATTTGTTAAAGTGAAGTCAGTCGTGAATGAGTGTGTGATATGTCATCGGTTAAAGGCCAAAAGTTTAACTCAAATGATGGGTTCTCTTCCTGCAGACAGAATTTCTGCTGCACGCCCATTTTTGAAGGTAGGGATTGATTTTGGGGGACCTTTAACAATCAAACAGTCAAGGTTGAAAAAAGCGGTTACAAGTAAAGCATATATTGTTTTATTTGTATGCATGGTAACAAAAGCTATACATTTAGAGGTGGTCAGTAGTTTGAGTACTGAGGCAATTATCCATACATTTAAAAGATTTATTGCACGTAGAGGTTGTCCAGCTACTGTTTATAGTGATAATGCAACGAATTTTCAGGGTGCTAATAATTTACTTCGAGATGTTTATTTATTTTTCAAGAATCAAAAGAATTTATCTGAAATACATGATATGCTAATTAATAGGGAAATCAAGTGGCACTTCATACCACCAGGTAGTCCACATTGGGGTGGATTATGGGAAGCTGGTATTAAATCAACTAAATTTCATTTGCGAAGAATTGTAGGCAATATAATTTTGACATTTGAAGAGTTAACCACTGTATTAGCACAAATTGAAGCAATTCTAAATTCGAGGCCATTGTGCCCAATTTCATCAGATCCTTCAGATCTTGAATGCTTAACTCCATCACATTTTTTGATAGGTGAGCCATTGACTTCGTGTCCTGAAAGGGATGTATCCAACATACCTGAAAATCGACTAAATTTCTATCAACTGTGTGTTAAAATAAAAGAAAATTTTTGGAAAAGATGGTCGGTAGAGTATTTAACTAGATTTCAAAATAGACCAAAGTGGTTAAGTCCAGTGAAAAATTTGGAAGAAAATACAATGGTGTTGTTGAGAGAAGACAATGTTCCACCGCTAAAGTGGCTTTTGGGTCGCATTGTGAAGGTTATGCCAGGGTTAGATGGTAAAGTAAGAGTAGTGCAAGTAAAAACTCAAGATGGAATATTTACGAGGCCAATTACCAAATTAAGTCCTTTACCTTTTGACACAAATTAAAAACTATTGTTGAAGTTTACACTTCAAGGGGGGGAGAATGTTGCATTTTCAGTTTTAATTATAAACAGCACCAGCCGGTTATATGAAATCTTCGAATCTCTCCCTTCGTTCATCTTCAAAAGCGGGAATTATACCTCATTAAAAATAGGATAGTTTTAGGTTAATTAGTACTAGTGTTTAGTAGAAAATCAGAAATAGATCAGAGTGGCCAGTTTAGTCAAGTTTTTGTTAATTTTAGTACCTGTTATTGTCATTGTAATAGAGTTGTCATAAATGTATAATTTTTTGAAACTGGCTTGAAACGCTTGAATCCAAATAGAGCATTTTACTGACATTTTTGGGCTTTTATTCGTCAGTTGGTCCTTCGGAAGAATTTTAGAAGCAAGTTGGGACTAGGAAAGCAGAGAAAACTCATTGTTGGCCATCATACAGTCCTAATTATCGATTGTCCCAACACAGGGGTTTTTAAAAGTGCCGGATCTAAAAATAATATTTGCAACGTTGCCAGTTCTACAGTTTTTCCGATAAATCTCTCAACTTTAATTTTTCCAATGCAAAACTATGGTAGTTTTTCAATTAAAATGTTGGTCAAGCCAAAGTGTTTACAATCCTAAAATATCAAATTTTTCTCGTGTGGTTTTTAATAGGTATGGCAATACTGCATTTTCATTTAAAAGAACTGAAATGGTGAAATATCTTAGCAACGGCTTAATACACCGGTATGACATTTTGTATACAGGGGGTTTCAAAAGTGTCAGATCTAAAAATAATATTTCCAACGTTGTCAGTTTTACAGGTTTCCCGATAAATCTCTCAACTTTAGTTTTGTAAATGCAAAGCTATGGTAGTTTTTCATTTAAAATGTTGGTCAAACTAAAATGTTTTTTAGGTCTAGATTATTAATTTTTTTTTCCGCATTTTGAAAGATATGGCAATAATGCATTTTCATTTAAAAGAACTGGAACGGTGAAATATCTCACCAATGGTGTAACATAACGTAATATTATCAGAAATTATTTAGTTAAGTGTTTAAATAATAGAACTCAGAAATTTCAGAAAAAAATCGTTAAAGTTCTGATTTTTATAAAATATTTTTAAACACTTAAAAATCCATAACTCGAAAACTAAACAATCATTGGAATTCATATTTAGTGAGGTAAAACAGCTTTGGAAGAACTCAAAAACTGTGTTTGACTTCAAAATTTTAATAATTTTTTGTATTTTTATTTATTTATTTTTTTCTTAAATTTTGACATGTCCTTGTATGTATCCAATAATTGCTCGGTAATGGATGTCTTTGGTCAAATATCAAATGGATATTCTAAAAGACGACTAAATTAGGAATTATTTAAGACCTTTTTGGACCCGACACATTTTGAAAAATTCTAGAAATTTTAACTTTACATTAAATTTTTATTTTATTGATATTTTATCACATTTTTGTAATAAATGAATTTATGTATTCAATAAATGAAGGATCATTTTGTTAATGGGGATTTTGCTGTCAAATTGAAACTTTTTTCAGCGTTGATAGTACCAGCATGTTGTTATGTCATTAATGTGGTCATTTCATTACCTATTTTATTTATTTATAAAAAAAAATTAACTAAGCTCGCATACGGCGCCATCTCTTATAACCGATACCAAGTTTATTTTGTATTTTGTATACCGCGCCATCTCTGATACCTGGAAAGAAGCTCGGCATTGCAGATACAGTAGAACAATGCTGCTCAGGAACTGGAGTTATTTCGAACAGAACTATTCCACTATTCTGATCAGATAGAGTGGTGCAGAAAGAGTAGATCAGATAGAGTAGAACAGATGGAGTAGTGCAGTGCATGCAGTGCAGATAGTTTGAAACAGGGCTGCGCTAGAGATTTTTTTTGTTTTCTTTACATTCTTTGAACATTCCTGTGCCTGAGTTTATTTATTTGGTAATACATTTTACAAGAATAATGCCTACAAGCTGCCTAAAAAAGGACGATGTAAAATTTTAATTTAGGTGACTTCTTATCCAGAGAGTAAACATTAATTTTCTTCAATCAAAGCCAAATTCACCATCGAAAAACACTGAATTTAATTCAGCTAATAGATACGTCAACACAACATTTAATAGGTATATTTAATAATTCAGAGGCGGTACGAAGTTTGCCGGGTCAGCTAGTTTATTTATGTATTTTCTTTTCAAGTGTTTCAAAAGTTTAATTAGTTTCTCATTAAATTCAAAAAATTTTCATTTTCATTTAACAATTTTTTCTTTTTTCCGAACAGACCAAGACGCAGAAGTCGAGATAGAAGAACCCGCAGCCGCGACCGCCGTAGCCGTAGCAAAGACACTCGAGCCAAAAGCAAAGAGCGCAAAAAGTCAACCTCACCTCTACGACCACCTTTCCGCAAAGCCACCCGATCCCCCTTAGGGCTACGAGGCCAATCGCCCTTAGAAGAATTAAGTTCAGAAGAAAGAGACGCCCGCACCGTATTTTGCATGCAATTATCGCAACGGATACGAGCCAGAGATTTAGAAGAATTTTTCAGTTCCGTTGGCAAAGTACGAGACGTTAGAATGATTGTTTGTAATAAGACTAGACGGTTCAAAGGGATTGCTTATATTGAGTTTAAGGATCCGGAAAGTGTAGCATTGGTAATTATTGATTCATTGTTGGAGGTATTATTGAATTTTGATTTTTCAGGCTTTAGGTTTGTCTGGTCAAAAACTCATGGGGGTTCCAATAATAGTCCAGCACACTCAAGCTGAAAAAAATCGCATGGGCAATGCAATGCCTAATATGTTGCCTAAAGGCATGACTGGACCAATGAGGCTTTATGTTGGTTCACTACATTTCAACATAACAGAAGAAATGCTTAGAGGCATTTTTGAACCATTTGGCAAAATCGAAAATATCCAACTAATCATGGATCCGGAAACTGGCCGTTCCAAAGGCTACGGTTTCATCACTTTCCACAATTGCGAAGACGCGAAAAAAGCACTGGAACAGTTGAACGGTTTCGAACTGGCCGGTAGACCAATGAAAGTCGGCAACGTGACCGAACGGATCGATTTACAGAGTCAGGGGCCTTCGCTGTTGGACTCTGACGAACTAGATCGATCCGGCATAGATTTGGGCGCCACCGGTCGTTTGCAATTGATGTTCAAGCTGGCGGAAACGGCCGGGATGCAAGTTCCGGCCGCTGCGGCTAACGCACTCAGCATGGCCACTGGGCAACCAGTTGTGCCGCAAGTCCAAACAAACTCTACTCCACCAATAGCAACGCAATGTTTTATGTTGAGTAACATGTTTGATCCTGCAACTGAATCGAATCCTATTTGGGATATTGAAATAAGAGATGATGTAATTGAGGAATGTAATAAACATGGAGGAGTTTTGCATGTTTATGTTGATAAAGGCTCTCCGCAAGGGAATGTTTACGTTAAATGTCCTTCTATAGCTACCGCAGTGGCTTCGGTTAATTCTTTACATGGTAGATGGTTTGCTGGAAGAGTCATTACTGCCGCCTATGTGCCGTTGCTGAACTATCACTCCTTATTCCCTGACGCTATGACTGTGGCAACACTGTTGCTGCCTTCTTCTAGAAAATAATCAAGAGTCATTTATTGTTCGTAAAAAGGATGCGATGCGGGTTGCAAATATAGTAAAGTGACTATAGAGTTGGATGTTGATTTTTAATTCATTCCTCTTGCGTTGTTTTACTGTGTTTGCAGCCTGCATCGCGTTTCGCATCCTTTTAATGCGCCATAAATGAGAGTTACATGTAAATTAAATCAAGATTTTTTTTTTTGGTGTATTAAATTACGATTTTTATTGTTGATATTTAGTTTCTAAGGCTGGGAAGAATCACACGTAATTAGTAGCATGTATATTTCTTAAATAAATACCCACTTATATATTGACTTGAAATCGAATTTGATATTAGTTAGTACCCAGCAACCAGAGGCAATCTGAACAAAATCTTCTTTTTTCTCATCTTGGAGTGATTATTGAAAGGTGTTATTAGAGACTCAAAATTAGTATCACTTACCACTTTTTTGCTGAAGCTTTTCCCTTTTCTAATTACCTACCTAATATCCTTTTCTATTCTATTTCTTAATTTCTAACCTAGTCAAGTAAATGAAATAAAAGTTCCAAGCGTGAAATGAACCAAACTATCCTCTATTAATTTAATATTAAAATAATTGAGTAATCACTCCTATCTTAACCTACCTATATGTTAAATATAACTAAGCATTTAACTATCTTGCCGTTAACATTTCACCCAAGTAATTATAAATAAATTATTATTCAATTTGTTAGTGTATCTTAAAAATCCAGCTCATGTAATTATTGCTTCGCTACACACACACATGCTTCGAATATGTGTACATAATTCTTTCCAGCAGAACCTATCACTTACCTGACATCTGGGTTCGTCATAAAATGTGGGTATATTCCTTGACTTTGAATAAATTGTTAAAACCACATGGGATCTGGTTCAGGCGACAGATTGGTTTAAAGTTTTTTGCCTATATATTTGTCAATTTCGGGTTACAGCAATAATAATCTTGAAGCTATAAAATTCGATACTTTTCTGACTTTTAAATGATTTCTTCCCTCGAACAGATTAGGTGGTTTGCAGAACTCCATATGTTTGTAAATTTCATGAGGATCACATTGCAACTATCTATAAAAATTAAAAAAATTCCACGAAAGATGAGCTTGAACCGAGAATATAAATTTGCTATTGATAACTATAATATCAGCTGGGTTATCGTCGGTTCGCACGTAGTGCGAATGTTGATGTGGAATAAGTTTGTTAATTTCTGCTATTCGGTTGGCTACAAAATACTTCTGGACGAGTCCCCTTTAATCCATGCTAGTGCTTGTAGAGTCTGTCCAGGCATGTATGGGGGTATCTTGTAGTAATAAGGTATAAGGTTGCATCAGTCTTTCTTAGTAGATGCAACGGTAGATGTGAAAGAATGATTGACATATGATTGATAGTTTTGTTGAGATGGTAAGAAGCGAAAGTTTTTATGGGCAATTTTTTTCTCAATAGTTAAACTAATGAGTTCTTGTGTAAACCATTTTGGAAATTTCCTACTAGCAACTTTTTTGAGAGGAACAAAATTACAAAAAGGTTTATTGCACTGTCAAGAATATCATAAAATTTCTGTACCAGGGTCCAGCAGCGTTCCCAGGAGAACTAGTGTTTCGTCTTTCTCATTGATATGCAAATGATAATATAACTAACAAAGACAGAACACTGGTTCTCCTGGGAGCGCTGCTCCCCTGTTTCAAGAATAAAGACCCATATATCTTGTATGGTTAAGCTAGAGAGAATCTCATCAAAATTAAGGGAACCCAGATAGTTGTTAACAAGAGTATATGATGTTTTGTAAAGTAAGACTTTACAAACAATTTTTTCACTCAAAAACTAAAGTGAGTGTGAAGTTGAAATTTTGAGGACTTTTTCCTAATGATCTAATGTAAAATATACTAAAAACTCAAAGCGATTGAGTTATTATTAATGGAGTTACGATTTTTTGAAAATAATGATGTTTTGTAAAGTAAGACTTTACAAACAATTTTTTGACTCAAAAACTAAAGTTAGTGGAAAGTTGAAATTTTGAGGACTTTTTCCTAATGATTCAATGTAAAAAATACTAAAAACTCAAAGCGATTGCGTTATTATTAATGGAGTTACGATTTTTTGAAAATATTGATGTTTTGTAAAGTAAGACTTTACAAACAATTTTTTCACTCAAAAACTAAAGTGAGTGGAAAGTTGAAATTTTGAGGACTTTTTCCTAATGATCTAATGTAAAATATACTAAAAACTCAAAGCGATTGAGTGATTATTAATGGAGTTACGATTTTTTGAAAATAATGATGTTTTGTAAAGTAAGACTTTACAAACAATTTTTTCACTCAAAAACTAAAGTGAGTGGAAAGTTGAAATTTTGAGGACTTTTTCCTAATGATTGAATGTAAAAAATACTAAAAACTCAAAGCGACTGCGTTATTATTAATGGAGTTACGATTTTTTGAAAATAATGATGTTTTGTAAAGTAAGACTTTACAAACAATTTTTTGACTCAAAAACTAAAGTTAGTGGAAAGTTGAAATTTTGAGGACTTTTTCCTAATGATTCAATGTAAAAAATACTAAAAACTCAAAGCGATTGCGTTATTATTAATGGAGTTACGATTTTTTGAAAATATTGATGTTTTGTAAAGTAAGACTTTACAAACAATTTTTTCACTCAAAAACTAAAGTGAGTGGAAAGTTGAAATTTTGAGGACTTTTTCCTAATGATCTAATGTAAAATATACTAAAAACTCAAAGCGATTGAGTGATTATTAATGGAGTTACGATTTTTTGAAAATAATGATGTTTTGTAAAGTAAGACTTTACAAACAATTTTTTCACTCAAAAACTAAAGTGAGTGGAAAGTTGAAATTTTGAGGACTTTTTCCTAATGATTGAATGTAAAAAATACTAAAAACTCAAAGCGACTGCGTTATTATTAATGGAGTTACGATTTTTTGAAAATAATGATGTTTTGTAAAGTAAGACTTTACAAACAATTTTTTGACTCAAAAACTAAAGTTAGTGGAAAGTTGAAATTTTGAGGACTTTTTCCTAATGATCTAATGTAAAATATACTAAAAACTCAAAGCGATTGAGTGATTATTAATGGAGTTACGATTTTTTGAAAATAATGATGTTTTGTAAAGTGAGACTTCACAAACAATTTTTTCACTCAAAATTTAAAGTGAGAGGAAAATTGAAATTTTGAGGACTTTTTCCTAATGATTCAATGTAAAAAATACTAAAAACTCAAAGCGATTGAGTTATTATTAATGGAGTTACGATTTTTTGAAAATAATGAGTCAACGGATTTGAAGTTATGATAGAGAGTTTCTGCTTGCGGCTTGATAGAGTTTATTTTCTTATGTAAATATTCAAGGTAAAAATGTAGAGGTAGGACCTTGGGATACCTCATCATAATGCAAGCTCCATAAGGCATCCCAGACAGGTGCATCATCAAATTACCCATTACCAGGGAACTTCAAACGTAGTGGTCCTGGCTTCTGGGGGCCACTGGAAAAATTACATAAAATTTTCATACCTTTTGTTATTACAAACAAATCTGACGTGCCAAGTTTTAAAAAACTCTGGAAAGGGATTTTTGAGCTGAAAAACTATTTTTTTTTTTCAACTTGGACACCCTGTATCTCAAAACCCAAGCATATGCGTAGGTACCCATGTTTCTATTAATAAATTTTCATTTTATTTTAATGAGTACTGTTTCTCCAAGAAGTTTAATCCCACTATTCAGAAACATCCTGTATAGCTCTATTCTGTATTAATTTAAGTTATTTACTGAATCACAAGATAAACAGCTTTAACTTAAGGGATATTTAGTCTAAGTGGAGCTTTGAATGTGACTCTTGTAGAAACAAAAGTCACATTCAAAGTTCCACTTAGACTAAATATCTCTCTACTTGCAAATAGCCAGAAAAGTAATAGTTATTTGTCTTCTTGACTGATGTTATATTAAAAAATAATAGAATTATTACTCAACTGATACAGCAAGCACAGTACCATTGGTGATGTCATACGTAATTTTCTTAGTGTTCTTGAACGAAACCTAACAATCAACACCCTACCACTTTTACTGAATTACAGTAGCTTCTCCGGATACAAAAAATAGAATACTGAATGTCCAGATTCTTGACAGTAAAGTTAACCTACAATGGATAAACTAAAACAAAAAATTCCTTCTCAAGAACCTCAGATTTATTTCTACTTTAAAATAATTGGAATTGGGTTCCAGTTTGAGAGACAATCTCACTCAAAAAAAACCCAGTTTTATATTTGGAAAAAAAATGCCAAGCAAATTTTAAATCATTCACTGTCAACATGACGCCTGCTGGACTTCTTTTTCTTATGAGCTCTATGACTGGGACTCCTAGATCTTGACTTATGTCTCCTGGACCGACTCCTAGATCTATCTCTCCTTCTAGATTTTTCCCTGTCGTGGTCTCTCAGCCTGACTGATCTACTTCTCTCCTCCCTGTCCCGGTCAACATCCCTAGAAGGACTTCTATGACTTCTACTGGGAGATCTTCTAGGCGGAGCCATCATTCTAGGAGGACTTCCTGTTAAAGTTTTAATTTCAGTTGGTTGCCAGTTTGGATTTCCTTGACCTTCCATCCATTGAGAGTCTTGAGTAGGTTCATAACCTCCATAAAACGGTTCTGGTTCTGGATTGAATCCATATTCAGGAGGAGGTATATAAGGCTCAACAGGATATCCCATTGGTGGGGGTTGGCTCAAATCTGGAAAACCAGGCTTTCTGCTGTATTCTCTTCTATCAGCAGTCATTACTTGAATTGTATTGGTTTTGGGTGGTTCCATGTTATTCATCATCATTGGAGGTGGCATCATTGGTCTTGGCCCCATCATGTTGTTGAAGTTTTGAGGGGTTTGTTGCATCATTGGCATGCGGGGTGGTACATTTATGGGATTCATTAGAGGCAACCCTGCTCCAGATTCGTTGATACGAACACGTTTTTGGCGTTCACAGTAGGCTTTCCAAGTGTCTTCATTGAAACCATAATTGAAGTAATCTGTAATATCGGCTCCAGGTGTGCGCCAGGGTTTTTCTTCTAAAGCGTCAAGATTGTAGTCACAAGCAGGCACTCCATTGATTGTACCAATTTGCTCGAATTCTTCAACTTGGAATTTGCCAGTTTGCTGAATTTGTTTGCTCTTATCGCCTATGGTTGTTTGTAAACCTCCTCGCTTAATACTGTGCTGTTGCTGCTGAGGATAGCTGGCGCTGGTTTTGATGTCTCCAATTACTACATTGACATCATCTTCTTCTGAATCATCTTCCAGATTATCTTCATCTTCTTCTTCCCCGTTTTGGTTCAATTCGCCATCTTCTGTGTCATTTTGTGGAGCTTCTAAATCGCCGTTTTGTGATTCAGGTGGGACATCGTCCACTCCAGGTGGTCCATCGTCATGAAATTCATTCTGGAATTTGATTTCAGCTGTATTTTTATTGTATATATATAAATTGTACTTACTGCAGTAAAATCTTCAGGTGGTGGATCCAAATTTGGTGGAGCTTCAGCATTATCTGTTGCAGCTTCTTCTGTAGTTGGTTCTTCATTGTTGGTTTCCGGTGGAGCTTCTTCTGCTGGTGCAGCTTCTACAGGCTGAGCGACTCCTTCCGAATTGTCGCCGTACAGCCACTGATCGTCGTTTTCGATATCCTCTGCCATTTTATTAATTATTTAAAACCGAATTCGGATAATAAACAAATAATTCCTTGAATACAACAATCTCTTGGTAAACTAAACAAACTAACCTCAAAATTTGATTGTCAAATAAAATGTGACATAAACTGTTGACGTCACAGTTGGTTACTACACTCGAACCTGAATGCAGTTAGTGCAAGATGAACAAACCTAAAGGAGCAAAAAGTGTCGCATAGGTTATGGAACTGAAACCCACATTCACATTAAGAACAGCGTTCTTTTTCGAGAGTCATATGATCAGGAATCATTATATGTTCGGAGTAGCTCCTAAAAAGTACGCTTTTAATCCAAATTTGATATTCGCATGGAGTGGCAAACCAAAATGTTTTCAATCACTCAGAGTCGCTCGCAAATTAATCTTCTTTCTCTTAAATAGAGCTTTTGGAGTAAGCTTCATTAATTTGACCCATAGCCAATACTAAAAGTTATTACACGATTTACTCTAAAAGTTCATACTCGAGCAGTTAGAGTACTTAGAATGCATCAAATGAGAAAAATCTCGGCCTCGCTCCCGAAACAGAACAAGTTGATTGCACTGTTGAAATATAATACTTATTCCAGGGTACTCCGAGCAAATCATTGTGTCTGGATTTAGTATTTGAAATCGGTTCAGATTGTGATCTGTGAACAAAACTTTTATTCAAACGAATACGTACGCTTTTGGCTGGCAACATCTTTTTTGTTATGCGTTCTTTTCAAAATGTATTTGTTTTTTTAAGTACCAAACTTTTCTTTTATTTAATTCAGAACAAAACGAATTTATCTCACTATTGTTCCAGTATAGAACTGCATAAAATCCTTTAAAATTGATCTATATAAGATTACAGAACCGAACAAACAGCTGCTTATTCAGAACACACAAAGTTGAAGTGAAGTTGAAACACACTTTTTTGTCATGTGTTCTAGAAATAAAGAGAGTGTTCCATATTACTCTGAAATTTTCTTTTTGCAAAAGACGGCATTTAGAATGAGCTCTATGTAATTTCGTTTAACTAAATGTGAACCTAACTACTCTATTCACTCTAAATAGCTACTTATATCCGAAGGGTCAAAATGAACATGGTGTACTCAGTGCACGAAATGAGCATGAGCAAATCAAGTCCTCAATTAGTTTCAAACCGGTTTTGAATCGAATCGGAATGTGATCCGTGAATAGAGCTGGCTTTCTTAATCTACTCCGAACACATTATCTGACTCCTATTCTAATTTAAGAAATTGGACAGAATTAAAAGAGTACCTGTGTTCGCCTATTCAGATCACACAAAGTTAGAATGAAGTTAGAACACTTTTTTGTCATGTTTACTCTAATTACTCTAAAAATTTCTTTTCGAGAATTAGAACTTATGAAATGAACTCCATTTTCGATTTTGTATCAGTAACAGAATATGAATCCAATTGTTCTATTAACACTCAAAGGCCAAATCCGAACGATTTGGAACAAATTATTCATCGAATTTGACGGAGCAAGAAAGAGCGCTTCGTGCGAAATTCAAGAGCGTTCTATTGTTCAAATCGAACACGTAAATTCGTTTCGAATTGTTTTTTAATCAATCTGGTGCAAGTTGGGGCAAAAGTCAGTTAGAGCTAATTTAATCATTCATTCCAAAATCGGCACTTAAAGAATCCCTATACCAAAAAAAAGTTAGATGAAAAATCTGAACTATACTGTTCAGCTCGGAGTAGTCGAACACTTAGAATGTTACTCGCTCGTTACTCGAATCAGTCCGAACACGAAATCTTGCGCTATATTTTCAGAACAAAAACACAGTGTGCCGAACAAAAAATGCAATGCAAAAAGTGTTGAGCTGAAAGTGCAATGCTAAAAAGACAGAACAGAAAGTGCATTAAGAGAAGTGCAGTTCACAAAGTGTGAAACAACTAGAGTAGAGCAGAGAGTGCAGTGCACAATCCGAACCAATTCGAAACTCATTTAGAACTATTGTGGTAGAGACTTGCACTACACTTTTAAAATAAAAACTGGGCGTGTTCTAGAACAAGTGAAATTTATTGATCCGCAAAGAAAACTACAGAGTTATAAGTATAGTGCAAATGGGACAGAACAGAAAATGCAGAAAAAAAATGCAGTTCAGAAAGTATAGAGCAACTAAAATAAAACGAAAATTGCAGTGCACAATCTAAACCAATTTGAAACTAATTTAGAACTGTGGTACGGAATTGCACTATATTTTGAAAATAGAAACTGAGCGTGTTCTAGAACAAGTAGAATTTATTGATCCGCGAACGAACCTACGCTGAGTTAAAAGTACAGTGCAGATGGGCGACAGAACAGAAAATGCGGTACAAAAGCAGTTCAGAAAGTGTAGGGCAACTAGAATAGATCAAAAAGTGCAGTGCACGATCTAAACCAATTTGAAACTAATTTAGAATTGTCGTAAAGACTTACACTACATTTTCAAAATACAAACTGAGCATGTTCTAGAACAGATAGAATTTATTAATCCACAAACGAAACTACAGAGTTAAACGTACAGTGCAGATGGAACAGAACAGAAGGTCCAGTACAAAAAATACAGTTCAGAAAGTGTAGATGAGCAACTGGGATAAAACAAAAAGTGCAATGCACAATCAAAATTAATTTGAAACTAATTTAGAATTGTGATAGAGACTTGCACTACACTTTCGAATAGAAACTGAGCGTGTTCTAGAACAAGAAGAATTTGGTGATCCGTGAGCGAAACTACAGAACTAAAAGTACAGTGCAGACAGAACAGAACAGAAAATCCAGTACAAGAAATGCAGTTCAGAAAATGTAAAGCAACTGGAATAAAACAAAAAGTGCAGTGCACAATCTAAACCAATTAGAAACTAATTTGAAATAGTGGTAGAGACTTGCATTATACTTCAAAATGGAAACTAGGCGTGTTCTAGAGCAAGTAGAATTTATTGATCCGCAAACGAAACTACAGTGCAGATAGGACAGAACAGAAAATCCAGTACTAAAAATGCAGTTCAGAAAGTGTAGAGCAACTAGAATAGAATAAAAAGTGCAGTGTACAATTTTAACCAATTTGAAACTAATTCAGAATTGTGGTAGAGACTTGCACTACACTTTCAAAATGGAAACTGAGCGTGTTCTAGAATAAGTGGAATTGTTGGTCCGCAAACGAAACTACAGTGCCGATAAGAAAGAACAGAAAGTCCATTAAAAAAAATGCAGTTCAGAAAGTGTAGAGCAACTAGAATAGAACAGAAAGTGCAAAGCACAATCTAAACTAATTTAAAATTGTGGTAGAGATTTGCACTACACTTTCGAAATGGAAACTGAGAGGGCTCTAGAGCAAGTAGAATGTTTTGATCCGCGAATGACAATTTAAATTGTCCAAATTAGTTCAAATTCCTAGTTTTTTCAAAGCTATTGTCACAGTGTACAGAGCAGAAAGTGCAGGACGGAATAGTGCCGAACTAAGAGTGCAGGACGGAAATTGCCGAACTAAGAGTGCAGGACTGAAAGTACAAAACAGAAATTGCAGGAAAAACAGTACAGGACAGAAAGTGCAGTGCAAAAAAAAACAAAAACAAAGGTGCAATATAACCAGTGCAGCTTAGAAAGTATAACGCAACTAGAGCAGAACAGAAAGTGCAGTGCACAATTCGCACCAATTTGAAATTGATTGGTTCTGGATTTAATTTCTAGAACCAGCAAGCTCAGGAACTTTCACTTTCGAAATCAATCACTCCGGAATTGATCAGGGATGCTATTTCTAGTACAATTGTACTAGATCTAGCACAATCAAGTTTCACCTAGTACCCTAGTACCTCTCTTAGAAATCTAGGACAATTTGGATTACACTATCATTCAAACAAGTGATATTTACCCAAGGATAATACACACTACTACTACGGAATAGCCTATTCTCATAAGGCCCATGTAGAACAAATCTGAAGCTCACCACCCTGCCAAATCACCAGTTTTGACGTAAGCAGCATGTCGTTTCTCGCTTGACGTAGGCTGTTTGCACCACAGGTTATGATTCCGCGGGCTTCTGCTTTATGCATATATGCTTGGTTTCAGTACCTACATCATTAATATCCATTCTTAAACAACTCTTTTTTAGATCTCGTTTTCATCTGCCTCTCTGCCTATTATGTTAATCAAAATTATGTGATGTTTTTCATCATAAATTTAAATTATAAACTAGGACTGCTGGCGCAAACAGCTGCCGACTGAGTTAATGACGTCGTCAATGGTGATACACCAATATAGCCGCGATTACCAAAAACGAAGTCGATAAGTAAACCTTAGTAGTATGTATTCCTTGATATTTACTCTCAATTAGGGCCGATTTCTCAATAGCGAGTCACCCCCGGGTTGGTTTTAACTTCAGGGTTATAAGGACGTGTCAGACTGCAGTGTTTGTCCTGGAGTTAGCTTAACCCGTAGGTGAACTACTATTGAGAAACCGGCCCTTAGCAGGGCCTACATTTGTATTCAAATTTCAAAATTTGACGCGGTTCCAGCTAGTACACAATGTCGCCAATCTAGTACAATTATTCCCTAGTTTCTGGTACAATTTTTTTAGTGCTGATAGCAAATCTGAATTGATTCTAAATGAAACCCAATAGTTCGTCTGTGACGTCATGAGTTTAAGCACTGGCTAGAAGCTGCGTCTATGTTTCCGTTGAACTACGTTCAAAATGACGTCATGAGTTTCTCGCCAAAGCATTTGTGTTCATAAAATCATGTCGCAAAAATTCAGCTCTTATCGGAGAAGCTGATCCAATTAACCGGATCACCAGCTGATGTTCTTTATCTTTTTCAATTGTGTTCATTGAAGAAAGATAAAAATTTGAGTTGAGTTTTTATATGTAATGTACTATGGAAACCTTGCGCAGCACTACTTTCAAAATGAGGACTGAATGTGCACTAGAGTAGGTAGAGTTTATTGATTTGCAAACAATATATTTTAAACTAATTTTGGAGCCGAAAATGTAGAACAGGAAGTGCAGTGCAAAAAGGACAGAACAGAAAGTGCAGTTCTTAGCAAACTCACACTTCTCTGTCTCAAATTTGTAGTTT